TGTTACCGTGGGGTGGGAGGCGCGCTGTGCTCCCGTGAGGTCGGGGATACTGTGTGTTCCCGGGGGTTGAAGGGGCACTGTGGATCTCTGTGGGGCGGGGGACAGTGCGTGTTCCCATGGGATGGGGGGCACTGTGTACTTCTGTGGGGTGGGGAGAAGTGTGTGTCCCTGTGGGATATGGGGAACTGTGTTCCYGTGAGATGGATGGCGCTGTATGTCCCTGTGTTTATGGTAAGACTCGGCTCCTTGGTGACGAGTCTTTCAATGCATTTATTTTTTTGAAATGAAAAATGCATTAAATGGGGTTTTCACCACCTGGTTCAGCATCACAAAGGGACGTCCCACTATTCTCCCTACAGCAAACCAGCTCTGGGTGAGGTTGGATTATTATGTGCCAACTGCTCATATGCATGTATCCACAGCAATAACATCAAAAGGAAACATGGGAGGGGGAATCCAGAACTGTAATTTATTCCTCGGTAATATGGGGACATGTGGCACATGTTATTTATATTTGAAGGTTGCCCAGAGTGTAAAATCAGCTGTCTTTTAAAGTAAACATGAGGAAAACTACATCCAGGCTCTTGGTGCATCTGAGCTGCTGGCAGGTGCTGGAGAAGGAGCCTTGTGCCGGGACTGGCAGCCATCTCCTCTGTGCCATGAGCGCCATCGTCACTGCACACACACACACAGACACGCACCGGTCGGTCCGGGTAGACACTGAGCACATGGCAGCTGTCCTGCTGTGGCTCTCCAATGAGACAGAATAGATGGAGGGCTGCTGAGCAGCCAAGGCTGCCACCACCCCCACRGCTGGCCTGGTTCTCACCTGGTTCACTGCGCAGAGGGATCACAAATGCTTGTTTCCGGCAGGGTCTGACAACAGGGGAGTTAATATGCACCATGCTGTTTGCAATAAACCCCATCTCTGCTTTTCTGGCACTGAAAGTGCAGCCCAGGCAGCTGAGCCCAAATCACAGACTTTAGAGCTGTCCTGGGACCAGCCTTTGTTAYTGCATCTTTGCAGAGAGATATGAGATGAGTGAACAGCTAGACCAGAGCTCCATCCTCTGACCCTTGGACAGGCAGGAGATTAAAGCCACTTTTCTGAATTCAGAGCCACCAGTAGCCCAAAGAAAGTAGCCAGGGGTGGGTTCAGGCTCTGAGCAAGAGCCAGAGTGGCTAGCTGGGCAAGAGCAGAGATGTGCAGCCCCCAGATGTGGCACACCAGGCTGCAGGGAACTGAGACCACTGACAATGAGCAGATGGCTGGAGGTCACAGCAAAGTCCCACACCAAGGCTGGGTGACAATCTGAATSCCCAGCACTCCCTGCAGTGCTGGGGTGGAGATACCAGTAGCAGCTCTGCCCTGACTTCCAAGAGCGCCAGCCTTCCTCCCACAGCAAGCAGGACACATAGCATAGATGGTGGCACTGCACATGGTGGCCAGCTCCATAGTGTGACCATGACAGCTCCTGTGCCAGCCCCACCACAGAGTGAGCAGGGCTGGGGAACACAGGGGCCTGGAGCAGCTGCTGGGGGGACAGAGCAGAGATCAGCCTCAGGGTCTCCTCTGCACTCTGGGAACCAGCTCATGGAGCTGGAGCAGCTGCTGGGATGACGCAGAGGAGATCAGCTGCGGTAGCTCCTCTGCCCTCTGGGATCCGGCTGCTGCTGGCAGGCCCAAGCTGAGGGGCTGTGGTGGATGTGCACAGCTGTGGCTCCAGCTGCTGAACAGACCCAAGGCCAGGGCCCAGAGTCAGCTGGCTCCCACCAGACCATAGCTCAGAGACACAGTATATTTAAGTCCCTCAAAAAGTTTTCCTCATGGATCACTGCAGATGCCAGCCCCTCTCAGGGGGGGATTAGCTGGGATCCTTCATTAATCAGCAGAGGTGTCAGAAGTGACCTTGGGCAAATATTTACAATACTGTGGTGTCATCTCTGTGCATGTAGCCAAAACACAGAAGGGACAGAGTTCAAATGGCACTTCAATGAGCTGCAGGGCAGCGAGAGGGTAGAGCTCTTCATGCTGATGTGCTGAGCAGTYCAGGGTGGGGAGATCATCTGCATCTGCCCACAAAGGCGTGTTGGAGTGGCAAGTGCTCAGCAGCCCTTCCAGGACCTGTGCATTTTGAATAGGGACCATCTCGGTTTCTGCATCACATGGCTGAGCATGTTGATGGGGCTCAGGAAATTGTGATTTTCCTGCCCAAGGCTGGTCTGTGCTCACATCCACATTGGACAGACAAGAATGGAAACACTCGAGTTGTGCCGCATGCCTGGGATGCCAACTGAATAAATAGCACGAGGTCATAAAGCAGGATTCCCCCTCAAAAAATTTGTTCTTCCTTGGAAAGCACAGAGGAGGAAAAAATCCTTTCAAGTTCAGCATTCCTCTTCCAACTGCTTCTGAAGAGCAGTCAGGCTGTGTGGAAATGAGCAGGGATGGATGGATGAATTCCCCCAGAAGAATTTCTCCTCAATTCTTTTCTACATTTTGATGGTTTCATTCCTCTAGCTCTCATTAGCACCTCCTTTATCCCCAGTTCTTCCCCAAAGGCATTCGGGTGTCACTCCCTCCTGTCGCAGAGGGAGCACCAGAGCAGGGATGGAAGCAGATGCTGTGCACCACCTCATGTTGAGGYCTGGAATTTCAGAGCCTGAGCCCAGCTCCAGCTCTCTCCCGTGGCGAGGGAGGCAGAGTCCTCACCTGCCCCAAAGCCCACTCTGCTGCATAAGAGCCTCATCATCACACAAGGACTCAGTGGCAGTGTCCTCCCGTTGTTAAGGCCCCGTGGTCTGACAYAGACCTGCCAAAGCCCCAGCAGAAGATTAGCTGTCCCACAGTCTTTGAGGGTTGATTTCTGAAGAGGAAAGTCTATTCTCCCAWGTGTATCCCTTTTCTGCACTCAAACCAACACCAGTTGCTCTCCTAATCCTGCCTAGCTCTTTCAGGAGGGTCACAGGATTTTGTGTCGTCCTGTTTGTGAGCAATCCCATGCTCTGCCTCCCCCACTGGCACCTTCAACAGGAAAAGGAGGCAGGTGAGATAGGTGAGAACGATCCAGCCAGCTTTCCAGCTGTCTCCTATACATCTCTGTACTGCCCATGCCTTTTACACTCCACCATGCCAGAGSTCAGCAGCAATTTTGCTAACAAAATCTTTTGCTAAGGAAAAGGGTCCTGAGTGCCTCAGGTCAGGCGTGCAGAGGGATGACACTTTGCCTGTACTTTTCCTTGGGCTGTGGGTCCCTGCTCTCACATATTCACGTTGGAAAAATATGCATGATGCTTGCAGAGCCCAGGGCTCAGTTTTGGGCTCCAGAGGCAGCACACATCTGTAATTCTGCAAAGTCAGCTGTGGTGGCCTCAGCTGCACCTGTACCSACCCCTGGAAGGGAAATGGGCCCCAGCCCATCCAGCCTGGCACCCAAGGACACGATTTGGACCCCCAATCAATCAGTTTGGTGGGGAATAAAGCAAGAGGGAAGTATAGAAGTTACTTTCAAGTTCATGCACTGCGGAACATGACRCTGCACTCCGTGGGACATGCACTCCAAGAAGCAGAGCAGCACTGCTAGGATGTGCCCCATGAACTCAATTTCAGGCTGCTGGAACTGCTCAGTGTAACATCCAAGGAGAATACTGGCTCTCAAGGCACAGAGATTTTTAAAGAGTTTTTATGGCTATTTCTCCTTCCTCTGACACACTTCCAAAGCTACATTTGAGGATGTCCCCTTGTACACACACATGCCTGTGATAGCTCAAAGGGAAAGGGAGCTTACACCACACCTTCATTCCACAGCTTGCAGCCAAGGATGGCTCAAGCTGCTGTCACAGGGCTCCCATAGCAATCATRCTGGCTTATGGAATGCTTCAGGTAATGCCTGTGCTGTGCAAATGAGAAACCAGCTCTCAGCAGCCAAACCAACCTTCCTCAAGCCCAGTAGCTCCTGGCATCACCAGAGCTGTCCTGACTCACCATGCTGCAGGGAGCATCCCCCCTTCCCATCTCACAGCTCACACACACACAGGGCAGCCCTTCCATGTTCATGTGAATCTCCCACTTTCTTTGAGCCTCATGCATTGACAGGTAACAGGTATTCATTCCACTGCTACAGCTTTTTCATGCCAGCATTAGGCTACCTTAGCAATTAAACAAAGCAAATATATACTTAGAAGACCTCTAGGTCAGGCTTATAATCAGAAAAAAGTGATATGCTCACTACAAAGCATTCAAAATTTTCTCAGCAGTCATCATCTGCACTCAAAGGRCATCAAAGACTTTATGATAAGGAAAGATGTGCTATCCCAGCCTATATTTTCCCCCACCCCTGTACCTGCGGCACCCAGCAAATGATTCCTCCTCCCTG